GCACCTTAACGTGGTTTCGTAGAAACTGTTGTGTGAGTCGCAGCCACAAGAAGTGAACAGAACAAGTCAGCACTGGAATGCGGTACGGTACTGCTGTTCGTTAAACGTGCTGCAGCCGGGGGATGCTTGCCACTCGGTCAAAACTGAAATCATTTCATTAGTCTGTTCATTTTAACAAGCTACTTAAGCAAGAGCTGAGTTACCTTGGGGCAGCTACAGAACTTTGCAGTCTTCTGATGGATCATCTAAAATTTAATTAATTGATTTTTGTCTCAGAAACATAAAGGACAACCAGCTGAGTATCACAATTTACCACTGCTACTTTGATATCTTTTGCTTTCATGTTAGAAAATATATTGGATGATAAAGTCTGAAATCACTTCTGCCTCATATTGCTTTAATTTGCTCCCATAATGATGGAAGTCATCATCCCCAAAGATTTTTTCCTTCAAACTTGGGTAGGGCCTATTACTCAAGACAGACAGACTTACGAGTACTGTTAGCTACTTGCTACCAGCCAAAGTATACAATGACTTACGTATGTGCAGTCATGACAGAAGCAACTGCCTATTTAAAACTGAAGAAGGAGATGCATTGTGCTGCTTATCCTGTTTGACCATCAAGGTTTTCAGATGTAATGGAACTATTGCATGAGTGGTGATGGAAGAGTCTTCCATTTAATTCATCGATATTGGAAAAAGTAGAGTGAAAAACTTCAAAAGCCTCCGGAGGGGCGGGGGGGAATCTTTTTAAACAGAAGCAAAATTTTATAGATATATGTATAATACACAAAAGTTACTCTGTTTCCTCCTTCCTCTGTCCATAACATTCAAATAGACAAGAAGTGGTTTCATGCCGTTGAATGTCAAGAGAGCTGTTTCAGCTCAACTTCACCATCAAGAATACAGAAGACTTGTATGGTTCGTAAGCTATTTAGGAGAGAATATTTTGGAGTTATTTGTCAGTCATCTATTTCCAGGGCCCAGTTACATTTATCAAAGACTTCAGTGAAATTTGATTAACCCAGTAGCTCTGTTAATGACCTGTAAATTTTTTTCCCCACAGTTTCAACGTGCTTTTGTGATTGATTTATTATTTGCAGAGGCTGGAGTAGTGGTGGGAGAAAGGGTGTTATTTAGAAACTAGCTCCAGAAGAAAAGTGTATTTTCTCTTATTAAAACAAACTGCACAGTGCTGCCAATAACCCTATTCCAACTGAGGTAGGTAAGGAGATTTAAAGATGAAATTTCCTTTGATGCAAAGGTCATCCTCAAATTACAGTATTTGAAACTAAACCAGTCCCATCTTTCTGTCAAGGCTCAGTTTTCTATTCTGCATTCCCACCTGTACACTAAATTCATTTTCTGAATGTTTAAAGTTTGTTTTTTGAGGACGATCTGCTTCATTTACAGCAGAAGCGTACAGGTAGTCTGAGTGCCTAAAGCACCTTTCTCATAAGAGGCTCCTCATGTAGACTGTGCATAGACTTCAGCTTTGGGGACTCATGGGGGCCATAATCTGTGTTAGAAAACAGACGCGTGAAATAAATACCTTTTTTTTTTTTTCCTACACATCTTTAGGTGGTGGTGTTTTTTTTTTTTTAATATATCTATATAGTTAAAAAAAAAAATCTATTTTGTAAGTCAGTGCAAGCATTTTCCTACACTTCTTTAGGTGGTGGTGTTTTTTTTTTTTTAATATATCTATATAGTTAAAAAAAAAAATCTATTTTGTAAGTCAGTGCAAGCAAATAGTGATGAGTGCATTTCCTTAGAATAGAAGTTAGTCTCATAATGACACGACAGCTCAGTGATTGTACGCATGGATACTCTTGCTCCAGACCCCTGATAATATTTCTTGCACTAGAAGAAATCAGTAGTTTAGCACGATGCATACAAGAGTGTGTTTTGTTGGTGTGGGTTTTGTTTGTGCTTTTTTTCAACATACGCTGATCTAGAACGTGTTTTTCCTATTGTGAGTGCCATAAATCAAAGACAGATTTGTTGAAAAGCTACTAACTTTTTGAAATGGTTATAGAAGATGGCAGGGAAGGTAGATTAATATTTAAAACAAGTCACTGATAGCATGCTATTTGAAGTCAGTTCACTACTGGTACTAATAATAGGTTAAAATAAAGGAAAGGAGAGCTCACTTGGGAGTATGTGTAAAGATAGGTAATACAATGTCAGAGATATCTGATTTGAGTTTTGTGGTTGTAACTCATGTTGTAAAGATACTGAAGCAACATGTTACTAGGAAAGTGTGAGTAGAAAGAAGAAACATGACTTTGAAGGGATGAATGTCCCAGAGGAAGTGTTGAAGCATCTAATCTTGAATCGCTTCAAGCTTGCCTTGACAGAGCCCTAGAATAAAAATAAAATTAAAAATTGCTCTTTACATTTATGATGATAGAGCGTGGGTTCCATCTCCCAAAATCTCAGGTTTTTTGCATATTAGCTTCTGGCTTAATTTCTTGTTGCGGTGTTCACACAGAAGTGAGACCAATACGTAGGTAGTTGGGAAAATTCTTTTTTTGTTGTTGAACGTTACCCATGTAGTCTTTTAGAAGAAGCACCGATGTAAAATCTTTTCTTTGCTTGTGCTGCTGCTTTCTGAGGAAGAAGAGTCACTTCTCTATTTCCAGCTGTGTCAGAGAAAGGCTCCAGAAAGCAGCCAACAAGCTTCCCAAGAAATAAAGAATGAGCAAATGAAACCAAAGACCGATATTTGATTTCCCCTTCTTCCCCCAAGCTCTTAAGGAAGTTCTGTGCACACCATATCTTACATTAAGTTTAATCTGAGAGGCAAATAATGCCTATAAATGATAGGATTGCTTCCTATAACAGAGGGGAAAACATTATGCCATACAGAAGAAAATCTAGCAAGTGTGTGAGAGAATTGTTTTGCAAACTCCTTCTGTCATTCAGTTGATACGTTGAACAAGCAGCATCTATGCTCCTGAACAGGGAGGTTGTAAAGCAAGGAGGAGGAAACCTAACTAATAGGAATAGAATGTGTCAGAGCCAGACCTTTACCGTGTCTCTAGCCTAGGTACTTCAGTTTAGGGGTATGGCTCTGTGATGGGCAGTGCCTTAGCTTGGCATCCCCCGCCCATCCCATGCAGTCCAACCTCACCCTCGTATTCTCATGATGAGCATTGTCATGGTTGTCTAAAATCACTTACCTAACAAAATACACAAGTGATTTTTTTTTTTTTTTTTTGGTAAGTCAGGAGACTGAACAGGAATCGCTGTTCATAAAACTTTTGTTCTGAAATCTGCTTGCTGGCTTTTTTGTTTATCAGATAAAATGGGCTGTTACACACATGGCTATTACCTTGGGTTTTTATACATTTACTAAAGATACAGATTTTTAAATCCAAAGAATAGGCATAATTCAGGCAATGGTAATCCAAGCCTTGACAAAACAGTCCATTATTTTATTCCTGAATAATTTTAATTGACGTCTTCAAACTGTAATAATAGTGAACATAGCATTTGGTAGATTTAGCACATTAATACTTCACTTCCTTGATGATAAAAAGGTGCTTTGTTCTGAACAGGTTATAATTACTCTTCCTTCACTTAAAATTCCACTTGTCTCTGTGCTTTAATGTGAGGAAATAGCTGGGGACTTTCACTGTGGTTTGCACCTTTCACCCTTACTGGTTGGCTGTTAAATGGTGAAAACAGTCAAGAAAAGCTTGTGACGTACTGATTTAAGCAGCTGCCTCCGGTTCTTCTTCGGACTAGTTTGTGAATATGAAGTATGAGAATGAGCTGAGCTTGGGGTTTAGCTAGGCTTGGAAAAAGCTAGCTAGCTTTTGTGAGAATGTGTTCTGTCGAAGTATAAGTTCGTTGCTGGAGGTTTCTTTGGTTTTGTTTTCTAACTGTGGGTAAGGCCAGTTGGACCACAGTTGGTAGCGCAGATTTGTAATGCAGCCCTTGTGATGGGAGGGAAGCAGTGAACTAGCTGAGCAAGAAAAAGAAATGGAGCTTGAGCTGCGTTGTATGTACTTGTGTCTAGAGCAGTCTCAGCCTCGCTTTTTATTCCCTTCATGTTCCACAGCAGCTGTGCCACGCTGAAGGTGAAACAGCCTAGGAGCATTTTTGATGGCCACTGGGATTTTAGGTGGATTTAAATGTGTTATCAGTCATTCCACTCTAGTTTTCCCAAGTGGTTTAATGCAGTGGTGGGAAATGGTAATAAAAATGTTTTGGAGCCATAATATGGATAGGGCCTAATAACTGGAGCAGATGAAGAACGACCTAGCAGTAAAGGGAGTAGAGGCTTGTGGAGATTTGCTAGGGGAGTCCATGGCTGGGCAAAGTCTTCCCTTGTAGTCCCTCCTCTGCCTCTCCTCCCCCACTTGGAATGAAAAAGCCTTGGCTTGGTGTGGTTTTAAAAGATGAAACCTCTTCCAGTGTGTTGGATGAAATATATTAATTATGGAGCAGCGTAGAAAATAAGAATGTAGGATTTTAAAAGCAAACATTAATAACCACATATTGATGCTTTTACCAAATTGAGTAAACATTACTTTTTCTTAATGAAGTCTAATTATAGACCTAATACAGGAGAAGGAGGTGTTTAGAAAACAGCTTGCTGGGGCAGAGAGGAAAAAGTGTGTGCGCTTTTGGTGTGGTGGGTGTTGTGGCTGGTTTTTTTAAAGTCTCATTTCCACATATCATTAAGAATGGGAAGAAGCATCAGAAACTTTTGAGGAATGGAGAGAGAGAGAAATAAACGTTCCAGGCAGAGTGGGAATACACAGCCAGGCCTTGCCTGCTGACGGATGGTTCTGCACAGTCATGGTACCTCTGGAAGAGGCACACGTACAGTTCCTCTGTTAAGGCTTTCGTGCTGCCCCTTAACACCTCCCCATCTCATGCAACAAACGCTGCTTTCTGAGAATTGGTATGGGCACTGATGCCTACAACACTGCATGTAAATTAAATACATATTGTATACATATTAAATACATAATGTTCCTCTCACAGGTGGATTTGCTGAGTTCTCCAGCTCTTTCCCCGGTCTCTGTGAAGGAAAATCCACGCTCGTCCCTACTTGCATTTCTCAACCCTGCCTACCTGTCTCCAACATTGGCCCAACCAGAATCCTGCCTCATCTCTATCTTGGGTGTCAGCGGGATGTCCTCAACAAGGTGAGCGTTCTGGGTGTCACATTGTTTACATGGATGAGTATATAATCTCCATGTGTCTTCGTCCATGCTTCTATCATACTGCATCGTTACAGCTATAAAACGTCTAAAGTAGATACAGATAATAGCTGTCTGTGCATAAGCCATGGAAGGCTATGTGAGAACTAATGACATACAGACCATGTAATTAATCCACGTGTCATGTAATATGAAACTTGGTTTCCTGTCTCCTTCATCTCAGAGAAGATGATACGGTACCTTTCTCAGTAACCTATCAGCCAACAGCAAACTATCAAATCTGCCATTATAGCAGTGTCGTGGTTTAACCTCAGCCGGCAACTGAGCACCACACAGCTGCTCGCTGACTCTCCCCCCGGTGGGGTGGGGGAGAGATCAGAAGAGTTAAAAGTGAGAAAACTCGTGGGTTGAGATAAGAACAGTTTAATAATTGAAATAAAATAAAGACCGATGCCCAGCCAGTCCCTGAGCAGCAGTCGCTGACCCCAGCCAACTCCCCCCAGCTTATATACTGAGCATGACATCACATGGTATGGAACAGCCCTTTGGCCAGTTTGGGTCAGCTGTCCTGGCTACACTCCCTCCCAGCTTCTTGTGCACCTCCTCGCTGGCAGAGTATGGGAAGCTGAAAAGTCCTTGATTTATTATAAACACTGCTTAGCAACAACTAAAACATCAGTGTGTTATCACATTATTCTCATGCTAAATCCAAAACACAGCACTATGCCAGCTACTAGGAAGAATATTAACTCTATCCCAGCCGAAACCAGGACAAGTAGGTGAGGTAGTTTCCTGTGTATAGCTCTGAGTGGTTTGTTTTGACAAGTTTTGGATGTTAATATATTAATGGTTACAGTAGGAGAAAGGAAGATGTCTGGTTTTTAGTATTTCCTTCAAGTGCTGGAAAAAATAACACTTAAATACCATGAATTGTATAATGAGGGACTACTGCAAGCAAATCTTTGTACATCTAATAAAATGTTCAGACCTGGACAATCAGTGGGGTCATTTAAAATGAGTTTTTATGGTAGCACTGCACTAAAACTTTTACTGTTTCTAAATACGTGTGCATTTAATAATTTCTGTTCCTAAAGCATAGCCCAGGACATTTTGGTATACTTAAAATAGTCAGCAAAGTCATCAAATATAGCACTTGCAGGGTGCTGGACTATCAGATGTCTAAAAGAGTTTGTCTCAAATTGCTACAGGTCTGTATTCCTATGTATATCCACAGATATTTGCCTCCATGAGGAGACCAACTCATATTGCTTACAGTCTACATCCTGGCTCCCTTCACAAAGAAATTTTTATTACTTCTGCTGCCTGTGCCTTCTTGCCTCCCATATTATCTGACAGTCCTATTTATTAGTTGAATCTCCAACAGCCTTCCTAAGCTGGCATTAAATACATGGATGGGGGAGAGGAGAGGAGTGCTTCACCCTAACATGTTGCCTTCATTATGTGCAAGGCTTATATGTATGCTTTTTATCCACGTATAAAGCTTAAGACAGGAATTATCCTAATAATGTCCTGTTCATGATGATCAATGATCCTGCATCAAATTCATATACTTTGACCATTATCATACTTTTCACTGGTTTCTTCTACTTTCACTCCATCCCAGTCTGGCCATTAATATGCTATTTTTGATTTTTCACAATTGTTTTAAGGAGATCTTTGACATGCAAGCAATCATATAGAAGGTAATTGTGCTTTAATAGAGCACACAGAAAAATCTTTCATATGGAGGATAGTCAGCAGTCACTGGATTTACTTTGTTCTTCAAAATCTTCTGTGTCTTTACCGCCAGGTAGCAAGTCAGCAATTCAAACTTGATTCACTTATTAGTCAAAGCAGCTTATTACTTTTCCTACCGCAAAAGTAACTTGTGGTCCCCAGACAAAAGACAGTAGGGACTAAGTAATTAAAAAAAAAAAAAAAAAAAAAATTTCCTTGCTTTAAATGGTAGAGTATTAGAAAGATGCTTTTATGCTGTTTGTTTCAACGTATGAATGGCAAGTGCTATCCTAGGTCACGGTGGGAGTGAGGGGGCAATTTGTTCTCCTCCAGGGCCAGAGATGTGCTACTTCGTTTGGGATGTGACTGGAACTCCAGTGCTGTGGCTCTTAAGTAGTGAAAAATCCCAGAGGGATGAAAGAGGCTGTTCCCTTTCCTTGGCAGTAAATTGGTGCCTGTGAATAGGTGTTGGGCACAGGCACAGTGTGTGTGCCTCACCAGGAAAGGAATCCAAGTGGCAGCAGTGGTCAGGAATTTCATTATAGGGCCGGAGGAGGCTAAAACCTCAACTACTACTGGTGAGCCCTGAGTGTGGCAGAGCTGTCTACAGGTGTATTGGGTTTGCAGGGCAAGGTTTTGGTAGCAGGGGGGGGGCTACAGGGGGGGTTCCTGGGGAAAGCGGCTAGAGGCTCCCCCCATGTCCAATAGAGCCAGTGCCAGCCAGCCCCAAGACAGACCTGCTGCTGGCCAAAGCTGAGCCCATCAGCGACGGTGGTAGCGCCTTTGTAATAACATTTAAGAAAGGGTAAAAAATACTGCGCAACAGCAGCCAGAAGAGAGGAGTGAGAGTATGTGAGAGAAACAGCTCTGCAGACAGCAAGGTCAGCGAAGAAGGAGGGGGAGGAGGTGCTCCAGGTGCC